ATCAGAAGATGTGGAGAGACCTGGCCCATAGAATCACCAAGAGTGATTGAATAACATCATTGTCGTCATCATCATCACCATCACCATCATATTGGATCCACCTATAACAGTGATGGCAAACCTTTTAGAAACCGAGTGCCCAAACTGCAACCCAAAACCCACTTATGTATTGCCGGGTGCCGGGTGGGTGTGGCCCACTCGGCGGGTGCAGCTACAGTGAGCTTGGCAGACTGGGTGGGCGTGGCCACTGGATGGGTGTGGCTGCAGTAGTCATGGCAGATTGGATGGGCATGGCCGGAGTGGGCATGGCCACCTTGATATTGCTTATAGGGAGGGACACTTGTGGGAGCCGGGCAGGGTTGGGGGAGATCCAGGGGGTCTCTGGCGGGTGGGATGGTGGGCTCCCCAATGGCGGCTCCAGGCTGGCTGGCCTTAGGCCAGTGATGGCGAACTTTTAGAGACCACGTGTGCTGGGGCGATGGCGTGTGCCCACAGAGAGGGCTCCATGTGCCGCCTCTGGCACGCGTGCCATAGGTTCGCCACCACTGACCTATAACCATAAACAAACAAACAAACAAAATCTTGTTCAGAATCTTGAAAGGGATGAAATTTTTAAGGATGGAAGGAATTAAATTATTACAATTAAATAACAGACATACATTTGCTTTCTTGTTTTTGATCATGCCCTCTGCTTGATCTAATGGTTCTGAGATTGTCCTTTGCAATTGGAGTCAGAAACTCTCTTTTTTTCCCTTCCAGATACTTTTTAGGACAGTATTGGATGGAAACTGCTCCAGTTCAGTTTGAATTAAAGATTTGAAATTCAGAAATGTCAAACAATTAATTCAAGCTGAGACTCAATTTGAAAAAAAAAAAAGGTTCACTGATAAGTTGTAATGAGAAAGGATAAAAACAGAAGTCACAGCTAGATAGATGGGTGGACAAAAACAGCAGGGGGAATTGAATTTTTAGGGGACATTAACTCTGCCAAGTTTCAGCTGGATGCTTTCAAGGGTTCGCAATATTTTTTTTAAAAAAATATTCCGTCTTATTTCTTTTAAAGCAGATACAGCATAGATGAGAAAAAGACAGCTCTGGGGCTGCCAAACTGTCCAGAAAAATGTCCTAATTTGCTAAACTTACTCAGCAGGTATCTGCTCCAACTTAAAAAATAAAAATAAATGAAAACCTGCTTAAGACGTATGTTCTCAACTCCATTTACTTTTTCTAGGATACCAGATTTGGCATCATACTGAAAAATGACCAAACCCTTACAGACAGGATAGGATTGCTTTGCTGCCTCTAATTGCTGGATTCTCTGACATTGTGAAAGGACTAGCAAATTTGTGCCCTTTAATTTTAATCTCTTCTCAGCAAGACTTAGAAAAATGAAGACTGATTTGTATTTAAGGAATGGTGTAATTTTGCTACTTCTGATCACTGGGTTTGGATGCCAGAACAGTGGCATGCCATGACTGGTTATCCTTCTGCAAAGGGCACCCCTCCCTTTGCATCACTGAATCACTGGGAAGATCCAGTTGTGTCGTAATTGTGGCTTGCAGGTCATACATGCGTTTGCAAAACCTGTTGCAAGAGGAGTCAATTAGAAATCCCTTGGCTGACATCCAGAGTGGAATAGCATGTATACGCATGTCTAGCGCTATGATTTTTTATCATCTTCGCTATCTCTACAGGATATCTGGCTTGATATGAACATAATATGTATGTGTGAACACATCTACCACCTTGCTGTGATATTGAGGTGACCTGCTTATTGTTAGTTGAGGACGTGTCCTCACAACAGAGCCTCCATCTTGGTGCCAATCTGCCACAGAGACATGATGTCAGCCTTGTGAGATAGTCCAGATAAGAAGCACACCCAGGACTGCTAGCTCTGTGTTGTAAGATTACATTAACAGACTCTTGCAAGTCTAAAAGTACATTTCTCCCCCCCCCCCTTTGCCTTCACAATCCAAGAAACTAGGGAGGGTCCCTTCTGAGACTTTGCCACGGCCACACTGCTCCTGCAGACTCAATTGCCTCTCATCTGAACACTGACTGATCTGCGGTTCCTCTTCCTCTCCCAAGGTCATTTCCCCATATCATTTCCACATGCCCAAACTGAATCAAGGTGATCCAACTGGAAAATGATATTTTCTCTTAGAACAGTGGTTCTCAACCTGTGGGTTGGGACCCCATTTGGGGTCGATCAACCATTTCACGGGGGTCGCCAAGCAAGGCTGTCCACCATTTTTTTTGTCCACCATTTTTTTTGTCCACCATTTTTTCCCCCTTTTCCGGCGGGTGCCTTACCTCCCTTGAGCTGGGCCAGCTGGTGGTCGGCCTGCTCCGTCTCTGCCGCTTGCCAGCTATGCCTCGGCCGGCGCAGGGGGCGGAACCACGCATGCGCAGCACTCCCGGGCAGGGAAAGTCCTTGACTTACGACCGGTTGGGTAGTCCTTGACTTACAACCAGTTTAGTCCTCGACTTACAACCAGTTTAGTCCTCGACTTACAACCGGTTTAGTCCTCGACTTACGACCGGTTGGGGTCGCGGCATTAAAAAGGTTGAGAACCACTGTCTTAGAACAAGGAATGTCACACAGAGGAGGGATCTGAAAGAAGTCAGGGACCTGTAGCGCTCCCAATTGTCCCTCTTCTATGCAGCCATGAGCTTTTGGGGGCCTAGTCTTCTTCGGCTGCCAGAGAGACCAGAACTTCTCTGGCAAGTCAAAAAAAAAAAAAAAAGTTTGCAGGATTGGGAATGTTGACTTTAGGAAATATCTCCCACAAGGTTACCCTGCACGGCCCCTGCTCTTCTTTTCGTCATGACGATTTTACCACTGCTTATCTTGCTTGCCATCCCTGCCTCGTTCCTCTCCTACCAGATGTTCCACCTTTCCCAGTCTTTTCGTCTTTCCTGGACAGCAGCGCTGCCAAAGGGACAGGGAGAGCAGAGAATCCGTTCTTGGCCAGGATGGGGCAGAGAGGCGAGCAGCAGAGGAGAATCTTCCTTCCGCTTTCCCTGCTCCTTATTCCCCCCAGCAGCAGCAGAAGGAAACCATTGCCCCTTTGCTGGCCTTGTTTCAGAAATATGGCAAGAGGAACTCTGGGAAGGCAACTCTTTTCCAGTCAGCCTATTTTCCTCCCATCCTCTTGCACATTGCATCAGAATGTGTTGCTTCAGCAACCGAGCCCATAACAGAGGACTTGGTCAGACTTTGGGGAAATTGCCACATGGCAAAAACCAAACTACAGGTAGTCCTCAACTTACAGCTAGATGCTTAGCAACCACTCAAAGTTATGAAGGACCTCCCTGCAGTTACTTATCAACTGGGTTCAAAGTCCCAAAGGTTTCCCCTCCCCCCATGGTCATATGAGCACACGTAGGGGCACTTGGCAACCAAGCCACATGTACAGCTGTTTGCACTATCCCGCGGTCATTTGACTGGTTTATGACATTTACTGGCATTTACTTCTGGGTTTTGGCAAGCAGGGCCATGGTGAACCACGGGTTCACTTAACAACATCACAAAAAGAGTCATAAAATCAGATTGGTCATGTCGGTGACCCAACTTACAACCGTCATCGGTAATGACTGTGATGGCTAGGCTCCATTACCGTTGTACCTCAGGCCCACCTGTATTAAAAAGAACTTAAAGGTAACCACGCACCAAGACTGAACCAGCTCTCAGCTTTATATAGGTTTCTATGCAAATGGTTATGTCATGGCCAAGAATACTGTAGGAATTTTTAATAAGTTCAAACAGTCTAGGTCCAGCTGCGTACTGTTCTAGCTGTTTTATTATATTTTCCTAACTTCAGAAATATTGTGAGGTTTTGACATCTATATTTAGTTATCCAAATCGCTTTTAGGCTCACAAATGCATCTTCCAAGAGAACTTGCTTGAAATAAGTGAGCACAAGGGGTTGTCCTATTAAAGTAGGAGAGGTAACAACTGAAACTATTTGATAAATATCTTAATGTTATGAATTAGAACACCGTGGAAGAACTTGTTGGGTAAAATGGAGAAGATAGCCACTGTATGCATTTTGGTCATGGAAATAGCTAGGGAACACAGCATATTGTCAGTCTTAGGCCTTGTGTGTGTCCAAGAAAAAAAGTTCTAATGAAATAAAGCTTCCAGAAGATTATGCTCATATAAAACAGTGGTAAATGGGAAAGTATTTGGCCGCAGAGCTGCAATAAACATCTCTAAAAATATTATGCTAGAGAGAAATATGAGGATTAATTAAAGCAAGAATATACAAATTCCATTTAGCCCTCCCTTTTTCCTTTGTTTGGCATGGACAACAGCTGCATTTAGGAAGAGAAATGAAGATTTACTGTTCAAAAAGGTTGTAATCATGAGGATAATGTGTGCAGAGTGTTTGGCAATGGAGAGGCATCAGAATGGGCTTTTCTTTCTAGCTGTTTCACTAAAAGGTTGGAATGGAATTTGCAATTTGTGTGTGCAGAAGGTTTTCTGGTATTGTTTTGTTGTTTTACGAAGGGAGATTTCCGTGAATGATTGGGCAATGCAAAAGAGGCTGCAGTGCATTTGTGAAAATTGTCTCTTGTCTTCATTGCTGAAAACTCCACTAGATCAAGAATCCCTTTACGGTGGAAGGGTGCTATCGTTTGGTGCAGAGCCACTTTTCAATACATTGTGAAAACAAACTACCAATTGTATACTAATAAAGCAAGAACGTACTTGCACATTACCTTTTTTCCCCTCGTATGCTGTAATAGCCCTCTCAATAGCAATGTGTTTCAAGAAAAATGGGGAAAAAGAAACGTACAGTATTCCTTCAGAAGAAATAATTTATCTACCCTATTTATTTAAAATAAGCCACAGGCTTGAAAAAGCAGAATATATAAGAAACCTATTCCCGTCCCTTCTGCCGTGTACGTGCTTAATACAGCTACATTTTGAATTTCAGTTGTGAGAAGGATTAATTCATTTTTTTTGTCCTGTTTTCAGCTCTTAGATAATAACCAAGAACAGAATGGGAAAACAGAACAGTAAATTGAGACCGGAAGTGCTGCAGGATCTCCGAGAGAACACTGAATTCACAGACCACGAGCTTCAAGAGTGGTACAAAGGCTTCCTCAAAGATTGCCCGACTGGCCATTTGACTGTTGATGAATTCAAAAAGATCTATGCTAATTTCTTCCCATACGGGGACGCCTCAAAATTTGCCGAACACGTGTTCCGCACTTTTGACACCAATGGCGATGGGACGATAGACTTCCGGGAATTTATAATTGCGCTAAGTGTCACCTCTCGAGGAAAGCTTGAGCAGAAGCTGAAATGGGCCTTTAGCATGTATGATCTTGATGGCAACGGTTACATTAGCCGTGCTGAAATGCTTGAAATAGTGCAGGTAAGTAAAGAAATGCTAAAGCATCTAACTAAATCAGGGGTAGGCAACCTTGGCTTTTTTTACGACTCGTGGACTTCAACTCCCAGAATTCCTGAGCCAGGAATGTTAAGACCAGTGATGGTGAACCTTTTAGAGACCGAGTGCCCAAACTGCAACCCAAAACCCACTTATGTATTGTTGGGTGCCAGGTGGGCGTGGCCCATTGGGTGGGTGTGGCCCATTGGGTGGGCATGGTAACAGTAGACTGAGTTGGACTAAAAAGTTCAATCAATCAATTCCAACTTTGTGAGATCTTTTTTTTCCCTGTGAGAAGTTGAAATTGATTGAGTGATTGAACCTTTTTTTTTTTTTGCACAGAGCGGCAGAAGCCTAAAGCAAAAAGATTTATAAAAACCCAGCTGAAGGCCTAGGACTGGGGCGATGGCGCGTGTGCCCGCAGAGAGGGCTCTGCGTGCACCTGTGGCACCTGTGCCATAGGTTCGCCACCACGGGTTAAGACAATCTAGTGCGATCAGCTATTTAACTTGAATGCAGTATATAGCAGCCATTTTCATCCTGGTGCACTTGAGATATATAGGCCATGCTGACTGTAAATTATCTCCAGGAGCACCAGTTTTGGGAAGACTGCTGTCCATAATCTTGAGCTTGGAGTTTATTTCAGCTGAAGTTACCTCTTAGCATTCTAAGTGTGTCAGTATGTGCATATACAGATAGTCCTCAATTTACGGCCACAATTGAGCTCAAAATTTCTGTTGCTAAACAAGACGGTTGTAAAGTGAATTTTGCCCCATGTTACGGCCTTTCCTGCCCCAGTTGTTAAGTGAATTACTGCAGGTGTTAAGCTAATAACATGGTTGTTAAGTGACACCGGCTTCCCCATTGACTTAGCTTGTCAGAAGATCGCAAAAAGTGATCAGACAACCCTGGGACACTGAAGCCCATCATAAATACATGCCAGTTGCCAAGCCTCCAAATTTTGATTACATGACCATGGGGATTGTAAGTGTGAAAAGTAGCCATCAGTCACTTTTTTCTGTCCTGTTGTAATTTCGGTCACTAAACGAATGGTTGTAAGTCGAGGACTATCTGTATCTCTGAGTAAGTGAGATGCAGGCAATGGTATGTTGGCTTGGAAAGTAGTCATCAGATTACAGATCCTATTTTGCATACAGTAGTATGAGTATACTTGGCTTAACACTGGCTTTAGATGTGCATTATTCTGGTATTTATGCACCAGCTTCTTCACATTATCTGGAAATACTGCATATAACAAAGGCTGATAACTTAGTCTATTCCTTCATTTATTTATTAAAAATGTTAAATAAAAATTTTGATTGAACAAAGTTATGATTTGTGGCAGAGCTTAATCCCGGTGGGTCCATCTAGTCAAATTCATGGCACATGGAACATTGTGACTTGGATGTAAGAAATGATAAAGAGCATGAATTTACAAATAAAGTGAAGGAAAAACAGATACATTGTGGAAAGGAAAGGAAAGGAAAGGAAAGGAAAGGAAAGGAAAGGAAAGGAAAGGAAAGGAAAGGAAAGGAAAGGAAAGGAAAGGATGCAATAGAACTGAACTAAGTGACCTGATCTTATGGAACGATATTGATGAAAACCTGGAATGAAGTTGTAGATTTAATTGTGAACAAAAGGGCTAAAGGTATAAATTGGTGTCATCTACATTGTTGTAAGTGTACATGAAAGAAGAATTCATAGTTCAGTGATAGGTCATGTTACACGCCAGTGAATGGTAATAATAGAAAAAGAAAGGATGAACTTTGGAGAAAATAGTGTAATATTCTGAATGAATGCAGTCCTGAGGGGTAAAAATTATTTTGGATGGCATGAAGGCAATGAGATGAGAGAAAATAGAAAAAGTGGTAGAGACATTTAGCAACCCAAGAATGAATGAGAATGGTGGAATCTATTTAAATACATAGTTGAAGCATAAACCTCTTCATGGATAATTGTAGCAAAGGAGGAAAATAGAAAAGGGCAATAGATTTGACTGCCTTTGGGGCAAGTAACCAGGAACAGGAATTAAGTTCAAAACACTTCAAGTTTATTTTATGCTACCTATGCACAAGAATCTGATCTACTAACGGTCACAGCAAATTGGTGTTAGATAAGAGTCAACGGAATTTATGGGGCAGGCTGGACTTTGGTCTCTTTTGGGAATGTAGCGACTCCAATCTGATGATGCATTTGATCCCGCTTTCTCCTACAGTTTACATTAGAATCAGAATTAGAATTAAGGGTTATGAGGAGTTCTGAATATTGTTATTGGTGTCAAGAATGGATTGGGAAAAACGGTGTGTGAAAGGATGTGAAAGTGCAAGTAGAATAACTATAGGGAAAGGAAGTATTGGTGGTTAGTTTAATCTCCCAACAGAATGTAATGGCAACTAAAGGACATGGAAGCTGCTTGAAAGACAGAAATGAATTTGTTTACAGAATACCAATGAAGACTGTGCATCTGTTCTCCTTGATAAGTAAATACATCACATATAAATCAATAGATGGAGAATATGGGAATATATTAGATACAAATCACAGCTCAAAGAATTTTTTCAAAATGCAGAACTTGAGGGTTTCTTTAGTACTTGTTTTGTATGTTTTAATATATTTCGCTGTAATAGCCTCTCAGATTTTTTGTTTTTGGGTTGGTTTTTTTTTTTAAATTTTGGACTTCCAAGAAATATTTTAACCTGTTTTTCCTATATATTGCTATCCCCATAAAGGCAATTTATAAAATGGTGTCTTCAGTCATGAAAATGCCAGAGGATGAATCAACTCCAGAGAAACGAACAGATAAAATATTCAGACAGATGGATACCAATAATGATGGTAGGTTTTGTCAGTAAACTTTTGTGATGTGCTTACCAAAGATGGGGGTAATGGTACTGGACATCTGTTTAAAACTGTTTAATCTAGAGTCAAGAAATCTGTACAGGGAAAAATATTGCATTTAAAAAAAAAAAGTCTGAGAGTCTTACCTGTGCATTAAAAAAAAAAAAATTCTACAACCAGCCACTCAAGATTTCCCTTGTTTATAAAGTTGTCTCTACAAACACTTATTTTCCTGAGATTAACTTTTTTTCTCTTGCATTCTGTTTTCCTCTTCCACTGACAGTCTCTGTCAAGCCATGTAAAATTTTGCAGATACGTGTTTTGCAATGGAAATAAATTATTGAAAAATACTACATTTATTCTACTGTGTACAGCTCGTTCTAGCTGCAGGTTTTTTAATCTACAAATAGGAAAGATAAGTTGATTTGCACAACGTTTGCACAAAGCCCATTAGAATTTCAAAGAGTAATTAAAATTGTAGATCTCTGTGTTACTTCAGATTGGCAGCCATTATCTCTGTTCCTCCAACTAGATTACTAAAAGGAAAGATAGCATTTTCCCCAGTAGGATCTTTATCATTGTGTTTCTCCTTCATCTACCGTATTTTGCAACCGAAAAAATACGGTAGAGGTTGCCTTTGGAAGCAGTATCTTGCTTCAGAACCTTTGATCAGACAAGGTTAGGAGAGAAGAAAAAGGAAAGCTATGGTTCTGTGTGGTGCGGAGGCTACTTAATGGAGCCATTACTGTTGAAATAAGTTCCTGCAGTTTTTTGGTCATGGGTCAAAGTACAAATGTTTCCTCGGCGTTGCCTGCTAGCAGGACATGTGTCTATTTGCATGGAAATGTTGTATATTAAAAAGAAGTACCATACTATGACTGGTATGGTGGGAGGTTTTGGGGCACTAGTTCCTCAGCCAATGAGGATTCAAAAGATTCCAATATCTCAAAATATAACCAGAAATTAGTTCTTTGAAGCAACCTATTGCCATTGTTTTCCAATAACCTCTGAAGCAAAGGTGAGGTTATGTCACTTTCAAGTCTCAACTTCAATACTTAATCCAACTAATTTTAGTCCAACTCACAAATGATGAAAGATGCTGGGAGCAGGTTCCCTGCCTTAGTGTGCATTCAGCTTATCTTCCCTGAGACTTTGACATGAGCACATCACTACTACGGTTAAATAAGTATTAGATACCTACAAAGATGGGTGGAGGGGCTAAACATGCACTCGGATGTCAAAATGGGAAAGTGATTGTTGTGGTTGTTGCAACAAAAATAACAGTAAAATAGGAGAGGCATTGGTATTCTTGTATTCTTCATAAGAGAGCTCTATCGGAGTCCCCTAATTCCACAACAATTTAATATATATTCATAGTACTATTTAGAGCACAGGGTGATAATTTGATCAGCCATCATTAAGTTTTGTTCAGATTAATCTGAGCTGAATCAAGGAAGATGCAGCCCATTCTAAGAGACCCCATTACCACCACCATAGGTTTCTGCTTGCATCTTACCTTCCTTCCAAGACTAGACATTGTCATCTTGGGGAGAAGAATACCTTAGCAGTTAGTGGGGGATTTTAGTTCAGACTGACGTGATCCATCTGTACCACAGCAACGATGAAGGCTGGCTTTTGATTCCCTGTCAGGAAATAGTGATACAAATGTCATTTACTGAGGATCTAGTCCTTATTGAAAACTTCTGCTAGCTGTTGCTCCCTCCCAAAGGTGAGAGATGATTGCCCAGGAAGCAGAAGAAAAAATATGTTGAGACTCTGGAAAGAGTGCAGAGAAGAGCAACAAAGATAATTAGGGGACCAGAGGCTAAAACATATAAAGAACAATTGCTGGAATTGGGTATGTTTAATAAAAAGAAGGACGGGGGTGACGTGATAGCAGTGTTCCAGTATCTCAGGGAGTCAAGCTATTCTCCAAAGAGGGAGTCAAGCTATTCTCCAAAGGCAGGACAAGAAGCAACAGATGGAAACTGGTCAAGGAGAGAAGCAACCTTGGAACTAAGGAGAAATTTCCTGACAGAACAATTAATCAGTGCAACAGCTTGCCTCCAAAAGTTGTGAATGATCCAACACTGGAAGTTTTTAAGAAAAGATCAGACAACCACTTGTCTGAAATAGTATAGGGTTTCCTGCCTGAGCAGGGGGTTGAACTAGAAGACCTCCAAGGTCCCTTCCAACTCTGTTATTCTGTTCTATTATAGAAGTGTCAACTAGTAGGCGATTGATATTTGTGCTCTTTGGATGATTTTGTGACCATGCATAACTTACAAGTACAATATCTTTTGAGACAAGTATGCTGCATAAATGCATCTGAGATAAGCATCAAATAGCTTGCCTATTTCTAATTAACTCAGTTGTGAGAGAACTTAAATAAAAGGATAAATATGCACAAACCATTAAAGTCACCATGACTGCTGAAAATTATTTTCTAGTAATATGATAGAAAAATAGAAACCCAGAACATAGTACAGGTGGTCCTTAACTTATAACCAGTTGCTTATCTACCATTTGAAATTCTGATGGACCTACCCTGGGGGGGTACTTATGAGCCATATATGAAGTTCCAATGCTCCCCCCCTCCCATCATGGATGGTGCTTTGGACACTTGGCAACCAGGCTGCATTTGCAGAGTCCTGTGGTCATGTGACTGTGATTTATGACAGTTTTTCTTTCAGTTTTTGGCAGAATTGTGCCTCTAGCAAACCAGTGGTTTGCTTAACAACCATACTGTTTGCTTAATGAATCTCAGTGATTCATTTAATGATCATCACAAAACGATCTCAGTGATTTGCTTAATGATCACAAGAAAGTTTGTAAAATGTTTCAGACTGCTTTACGACCATCACAACTGTGATGGCCTCCAATAAGATTGTAACTTGAGAGCTGCCTTGCATCCTTCCGTTGTTACTCTTTCCGGCCTAGAGAATTTGTTCAAGCAGAGATGGTCTCCTCAAAAAACTGTTTGTAAAAGCTTATTGTGCTTGTCTAAATTATCCTAGAAATATATCACATTCCTCTGCTCCTTTCTATTTGCCCATCTAAGGAATTAGAAAATAAGAATAATACTTGAGGGCAGAGTATTTCACAGAGAAGGTGGGGGCTTGTTACCTTTCGCCATTGTCTGCCTTTCCATTGTCTTTGAAACAGTAATTCAGAATCTTGATCAATAAACTCACATGTCAAAGAAAATGCATTCTACATGTTGCCTGAGAATTAATGAAGATTGAAAAAGGTTTTTCTTCCAGTGGCATTTCTCATGTTTTTCATAATACAGAAGTCTGCCCTGATTTAATAACAGCGGAAACCATTTGTCCCAAACATTACCTAGTGTTTTATAAGGAACAATATGCTGAAACAGACCAGTCCACAAACCGACTCACTTAACTTAGTCAGATTGTAATGTCCACTTAATTTCAAATATTTTGGCACCATTAGTTTGTAATCCTTTAATCTAGCTCAGGGAGGAAATTGTATTTGGTTCAAAAATGTGGCTGCCTGAGATTCAGCCGCCTGCCATTTTTCAAGTCCGCCCTTCAGCAAAATGTCAGCTAAAGGAAGCAACAGATCAGCACTGAGGTTATGCTTGTTTTCATGTCATTTTCATTCAGGGTTTTACGTTTTTCTTAAGAGCTTTAGAACTGTAACAGGATGTGAGAATTTTGTCTGGTTCTTATTCTGATTGTATTTCGGAAGTCTACATTATATCAGAGTTTCCTCAGCCAACCCTCCAAAAAACAGCATTTTGGTTCTTTGGAACGAGGGGGGGGTATCTTTTTGGCAGTCTATCAAATCTCATGTACAGTTCTTTTTACACCAGCTGGAAATGAGCAGACGGCTCTTTATGTTCTCTATGTGGCAGATCAGATGTATAATTTTCTCTCTCTGTTCCTTTCAAGGTAAATTATCTCTCGAAGAGTTTATAAAAGGTGCCAAGAGTGATCCTTCGATTGTCCGGTTGTTACAGTGTGATCCAAGCAGTGCAAGTCAGTTTTAATGAAACTCTGGACAGTTTGCAAAGAAAATTACTGGCTTGTTCAAGCTTTGCTCGTAAATGGATGCCTTCAACCATTCCTCATTGGTTAGTGGATGAAACTTTGTGGCTGGATTGTCTCTGTATCCAAGTGGAAAAAAAAAAAAGAGCCTCACTCTTCTCATCAGCTGCGATACGACTTCTCTTTCCAGTATCCTAATTCTCTTTTTCACTCCGCATTATTGTTAGGACTCCCTCTACACATTGAGTGTAACCGAAGGGTATGTTTACATGCAAGTTAAAAGAGGGAGAATGGTATTCCTCTCGGTTAATCTAAATGGATGACTTTGGTAACTCCAAAAAGATACTGTATGTAATTTTCATCTGCTGTGCCAGCAGCAAAAGACAGTTTATATCCCAGAAAATCACTATGGAATGTGGAATAAATTAAGCAGATTTTGTTTTTTAAAAATGGCATGTCTCCAGTTTCCTTCTCGATGAGGAAAATTGCTTGTGCTTGCAAGCAGTTCTCATTGGGAAGAAAACTGGAATCATGCTGTTTTTAAAAAACAAAATAGATATACACATTTAAAACATACATATACATAAGTTGTGTGTGTATATCTGTGTGTATTTTATATATATATATATATATATATATATATATATATATATATATATATATATATATATACACACATATTTTACATTTTGAAGTAAAAATTAATATTTAGGTCATATTTAATATATAAAGTAGACCTCATCCTTCATTTCTTTTAGTTGTCCATGATTATTATTTTTTTAAGAAAAGGATTATGATATTTATACATAGTCAAGTTGCCATTAAGGCACTGCATGATTAGCTGTTTGTGGGTATATCACTGTTTTAATTACTGGTTGCAACACTTCGTCCATTTTTACTGTGGATTGTTCAAGCATTTACTGTGTTTAATGAAGACTAAAGAGGAATCATTCTGCTTCCGTGTTTCACAGTGACAGGCCACTCACAATGGCTATCACACTTCAACAGGCTTTTGAGTGAGGTGAGGTAATTTGACAAGCTTTTACTATGATCCTCCTACCAATTTGTGGCTGTCCATCTCTGTTAATAGTCTTGTGCATTCCAGTGTTATTTAATATCTGCCTAATGCCAAGAAATGCTGATTGAAATAAAGGTGAATTTTCTTGTTGATCTGTGTTATCTTTTAATTATTGGATGCTTTCAAGAGTCAGTTTGAAAAGAGCGTTCACACAAATTGCACATGAGTGAATATTACTCCATTCTTCCGCAGATTTTAAATTTTAATTGAATATCAGCTTAGCTCAGCAATATTATTTTTATTCAGAAATATAGTTAGAGGTTCTGGTTTTGTTTTTGTTTTTTTTTGAAATAGATTTTTTTATATATAAAACAAGATTACATATCCTGACATATCTTTGTTATAGGAATTGGATTAAGGCAAAAGATAGTACTGGCAATGGAGCTCTGGACTATAGGTGGACAGTAAAACCTGCCAAGTGAGAATGAACAGCACAAGGATAGTAAAGCCAACTTTTGAAAATCCATATCTCATCCCTAAAAATGCCCTTCTTTCATTCAGCCTGAAAAGGGTTACGGCTGTGGTCCAAGGGTTACAATTCTTTTAAAAATAAAGACAACGTTTTTATTGGGTGGAGTTCAACTGCTGGTGACTAAATGGACACTTTGGTGTATTTTATGCTGGCAGTTTAACATGGAAGCGATTTGCCATTCCCTTCTTCCAGCTTGATTTTCCATGAGGCACGAAAGCCAGCTGGGTGACTTTGGGCCTGTCCCTCTCAGCTCAACCCACCTCACAGAGTTGTTATGGGGAAGATAGGAGGGAGGAGTATTAGGTATGTTCATCGCATTGTTATTTTTAAAAATAATAAAGTTGGATTTTTTTTAAAAAAAGTCAAATTTTCAATGCAGCATAACATGCTGGTAGAAGAACAAGAACTGTTTCCATAGCATTGCCAAGAAAACAAAATGGAGATCAAGGTCAGCCCAGAGTGATGTAAAAATGCATGAGCTTTCTTCCAGGTAAACCTGTTTAAACTTGTGCCTGCATTAGGCCGCATCAGCTGAAATGGGTTATTTATTGGCTGTTGAAGTCATTTCCATGCTGCATTTCTATAAGCAAATTCAAACTTTGAGTTTTGTGTAGTGTATACAGCATGCTGAAATTCCATCATCTTAACCTACAGTAGTTGAATGGGATTCAGCCAAAGCTTGCATCGATGAAAGAGGCTTCATTCATCTGCAGAAGATTTAGATTGAGTAAACTTTTTCACGTGTTGAACCTTTCATTACTTCAGTCATTCAGTTCCATAGTTCCAAAATCTGTTCTGGAAAGAAGAGGCTGGAAAGGGAAGAAAAACTGGTGCTCCCCCTTCCTTCCCATAAAGAGACATCTTTCTGCTGTCTGCCAAAAGCAGTATTTTCTGAAGAATTAGCACTTAGAATCACAGAAGTGTGCGTGCGTGTATGTGCATGTACAGGCACATTTATGTAAGTCCTTGTGTTTTGCAACCATACTTGAATGCATGTCTTTGAGGTCAGCTGTGAGTTTATGAAACATGTAATTTAAATGTTATACTGGCCACTGACCTATAGGAGACACTGTGATACATATTAGATGCTGGGCCTTAAAGGGTTGAACATAAAGAGTTTTTAACATGCTTCTAAATATTTCAAAATCTGCAAAAAATTTAAAATGAAGAATTACAAAATAAAGCTGGTTTCGAGACAGAGAGAGATGATAGATGGATGATAGACAGACAGACAGACAGACTGATAGCAACCGTCACTAGAGAAGAAATGGCCACCTAACAACTGGGGGAATTATCTGTCCCATTGTATTGTATCCTAGAGAAGATGTATATTCAGTATTGGACAAAGGTGCAGTGCAAATAATGGACATAATATCACTCACTCGTTCAAACATTCATTCATTCAATTTCTTGCCGTGTTCATTAAAACAAAGATGGACAATATACAACAAAGAAACAAATAGTAACAGAATCTCCATAAATAATCATCTGTACTAATCAATATTATTAAATCAGATGCCAGTACACAGTGACTGTACAAACTGAATACCACTGTAATAAAATTGTTTTAAGGGACTATCATAATACAGTGAACATTCAAAGATTAGAAGCAGCTCTGGGAGTAGCATATTCCATAAATCCACTATAGAGGAGTGCAAAGATAACTCTGAAGAATATGCAGGGAAAGATACGGGAAATTAAAAGAAAAATCAGTCCTGGGAAAGAAGAAGGCATGAGAGACTCAAAATAACATTACCTTGATTTTGCCTGGTATAAGGGGGGAATGGAGCAGAGGGAAGTCCTGGCAAGTTTTCAAATTTCTATTATTATACCTACAACAATAAAGTATCATTCCTGGAATATTTGCAGTGTCTGTTTCTGGCACATCCTTATTTCACATGGGCCTTCCGTTGGTGTTCAGACCAAATCATGCTTGGAAGGCAATCACTAATAGCAAATATGTTTGATTCCTAGAAAAATTATGGCATATTTTTTAAAAGTGCAGAACTTTGCCTGAAATAATTAAGTAAAGGAATTTGATGAGGTGTGTAATGGTGGTTAAATATGCACGTGGCAAAGGGCAACCTCATCCTATTGTTCTGTGAACTACGGATTTTCATTCTAGTAGATCTGGATTGTGGAAATCCCTCCGCAGGGCTCTAAGCAATAAAAACTTTGCCCAATTCCAGTCCCTGAGGGGGGGGAAACCTTAAGTATATAACGTTTCAAATTGTAAGAGATGCAAGAATCTACAACACATATGAAAGTTGCTTCACAACACATAAAAATTATCTCTGGAAAAATTAAAGGACCTGTGTGCAAAGCACACGTCATTGCTTTGTTATGTATTGCTTACAGACACGAAGACTCAACCATGGTAGGTCCTCCAGATAAATGGAAGTACAGCTGCCTATCTTTGGATTCCTTCCCATTCTGACTGGTGATGCTAGTCTGTGGAATAGAGAATAAATGAGAAGGTTATTATTATTAAGTGTAAAGCAGACAAATATCTCCCTTATAGTGCAGGTGTTGTTTTTTTTTCAATTCACAGATCAAGCAAATAGCTAACCAAAAATTCAAAAGGTACTTAACACATCACTTAGCCATCAGTAAAATTGAATGAACAAGAAAAATCAATGAAAGCTTTAATAATGTACTGGTACTGCTATCATTTTGAACTGGATCCAGAAAATGAAAGCCAGTTAAAATAGAAAAAAAGATATTTTATGCCCTTTACAATCAATAGTAGTAAATTTTCTGGTGATATTATAGGAACCAATCTTAGATTCTCTGCATATTTCAAAGGCATCTTCAATTAGAGCACATTGGAGTAATTTAATACAGATGATGCTACTCAGAACACAATGATTTTCTCTGGGATATGGGAAAAGGTGTTGATAAAAAGCCTTAAGCGCCACCTGAGCACCAAGGAGAAGACCACAGTGCTACCCACAACAGGTGATGTAACTATTCTAGAAATAAACATATTCCCAAACATTTAGGTTAAGAATCTGCTCATCTGAGTTTTAGATTCTAATCCACTGTCTTTGATAGAACAAAGACAGCTTAATAGAACCTGTCTATTGATTTCACTCAATACTGTATGCTTATATAGATGTTGAAAGCATAATATGGATTATCTCTTCCTCTCTCGCTCCCTCTCCCACTCCCGTTCTCTCATTCACAAAATACAACACATAATATGAAGATCACAAACTGAAGCAGTAGCCTCCCAATAACATTTTCAGAGATCTAGCCTTCAGGTTCAGCAAGCCCCACCTCAAAACAGTACCACCACAACCCTCATGGTGGCCATATAATTCAGAGATTATGGGTCATCACATCAAAAAATGCTAAGAGATCCAGATCGTGTAGAAAGACTGTTTCCTCCTTGTCAAATACCAATAACAGTTCAGGATTAGATTAAAGTAACCAAAGTTGAACCGAAACTGAATCTAGGTGATCCTCCAAACTGAGTTTTGTGATGCACTTTAATACCTTGTCAAAATAAGTGATAAACTGGAAGTTTAGATGGAGATATTTCTGAATCTGATGTAAAGACTTCCCCAACTCT